GCACATATATAAATAATTGAATTGTTATATTTTTAAAATAATTGAACAGCCCCCAAAATATATAATTGAACAACGTTTACTTGATAGTTGTGAGACATGCAGTTGGGAGAAAATTCAGCAGAAGTAATGAACGTAGGACCCAATTTTTTTTTTTTTTTTAAACAGAATTAGTCCGTTGTCCTTTGAGCGAAAATAATTGGCAAAAAGAGAAAATGAAAAGTTACCAAAGATGATTTTTGAAATGTTTAGTACACTATAGATGAACATTTTGCAAATCATTTTTGTGACTTGACTGTTGGTTTTAAATTCGGTGGTTCGATGTTCAGTGAAATTTATTGTCCTGAAAACTATAGTACGAATTTCTTTACTTGGACAACTAACATGTATGAAGTCATTTGCAACTAATTTCTTTAATCGTGTCTCCTTTGGGCGTAAATTTTGTTCAGAGAGGTTGGTGATGATGGTGACTGCAGAGTAGTGTTTATTTTTATCCACAGATGGGTTATCACTCTACAATGAATCACATAGGAAGAAATAGATAATTATCAAGTGAAAGAAACAAAGAAGCATAAAAGTTGTAATATGTGCCATAATTGTAGTAGATTGAACCCCCTTTACAATACAAAGAATCAAATAGATTTTATTTTCCTTTCGACAAATTACTCGAGTAGCATTTTTATTGAAGTCTTGTGCGCCGTAGAATTAATGACGGACAAACTTCAACATTGACGTGGCACATATAAAATTTTGGATTTTGCTACTCTTATAGCTTTGCTTCACATTCCGGTTCACAACTTTTCAATTTTGCAGACATTACAGTGCATAGTATTAAAAAGATCCAAAGCTTTTTCCCCAGCCGCCCCAACCTTTTCCCTTTTACCCACCCCAGTTATTACTTATTACCCAACCCCTTTATCACGTAAATAATGTTTTTTTTTTGTTTTTATCACAATTTTTGAAATTATTATGGGAATGCTAAATATCGAAGTGCTCACGACCTAGTTTCCCCCATCTTTAACGGTTAACCGTAGCAAAAATTAGNTCACGTAAATAATGTTTTTTTTTTTTTTTGTTTTTATCTCAACTTTTGAAATTATTATGAGATGCTAAATAAAGTCAAAATATTGCATTTTAAATATATATCGAAATGCTCACGACCTAATTTTGCCCATCTCTAACGACGTGCGAAACGGCCAATCGTAGCAAAAGTTAGCACTCGTCGAAGTAAAACGTTCCAAAATATATTTAGGATTTTTCTTATTTTTGTCTCAATTTTCGAGGTCATTACGGAATATCAAACGAAGTCGAAATATTGCATTTTTAATATATTTTAGAACGTCTTATTTCGACGAGTGCTAACTTTTGTTACGGTTGGCCATTTCGCACGTCGTTAGAGATGGGGG